TCTCTCTCTCTCTCTCTCTCTCTCTCTCTCTCTCTCTCTCGTAGTCTGCAAATACTGAGAAGTTAGGTAGCGAGAGGGTGAGGGAGAGATGGTAGACTTAGAAGAGGAAGAAGAAGAACTCTCTCTCTTTCTCTCTCTCTCTCTCAGTCCGGTACTAACCTGTGAAGGCGGCGCCTTGTTGCAGGTACATCGAAGACGAAGTTGGAGCTATGGCGCCACAGGTAAGTCTCCCTTGCCTCCACCAACCATCTTTCTCTCTCCAACGCTACTCTAGCTCCTAATAGCGCCCAACGCTGAAGACTACTGCTAACGCTACTACTACTACTGCAGCGCTCCTCCATAGTGTTGCTGCCGAATCCTGAAGGCTGCCTCCTACCTCCTGCACGTGAAGTGCCTGGGAAGTCCCTATGGACTACATGCAGCCTGCAGGGCGGGCCAGTCTTATATAGTGCTGGCCCGTCCCGGAGGCTGCTCTTGCCAATGCCAAAACGTGCTAGACCCTGGCGTTGAAATTCAAACAAAGGTTGTCTTGAAAACAGCCCCAAAATGGCCTGTGCTGAAACCTTGGTCTGTTGCCTAAGTTTTAGGGTAGGTCAATCTTATGAGGGCCAGAAAATGACCCTCCGTTTCAGGCTGAAAATACTCAGGGTTTTAGGCCCTTGTTCTCAGGCTTTTAGGTCGAGAACGCTGAAAACAAGGGCCCTGTGCTTAGGCTGAAAACAAGAGTCCTCCGTTTTAGGCCGAGAACGCTGGTCGGTCCCTGCAAGCCCGTGTGGCTGTGCAGTATGCCACAGATAGGGAGCAAGAAACTAAGTATTTTACCAAGATTGACTTGAAATCCGGCTACCATCAGATTGCCATTAGTCCGGAAGACCAGCACAAAACCGCTTTCCAAACGAGGTACAGTCTGTACGAGTTTGTGGTGATGCCCTTCGGCCTTTGCAATGTGCCAGGTACATTCTAGCACGCCATGAATATGATTTTTCATGACTACTTGGATAAGTTTATCATCGTGTACCTCGACGACATTCTTATCTTTACTACTACTGTCGAGAAGCATGCTCAGCATGTGGACAAAGTACTTTCCTCCTTCCGGCAACACACGTATGAGATAAACTTAGAGAAATGCGAGTTTGGTCGCACTAAAATCTTGTACTTGGGTCATGAAGTATCTGCGGAAGGGATTAAGCCTGAAGATGCGAAGGTGTCTATCATTAGAGACTGGCCACGACCCCAATCTGTGACTGAGGTTAGATCGTTCTTGGGGATGTGTGGTTATTATCTCAATTTTGTGAAGTATTATAGTACGATTGCATCTCCCTTGACCGATCTAACTTGCCCTGACACTCGCTCCAACGTTTGAGTGCATCGAAGAGGACAAGTTGTGTCTTTATCCACTTGAGTGTCTGATGGTTAGTTCTCAAATAGAAGAACCTTCCCAACAGAGAGTGTCTCCAGTGGACAAGTGCCTTATACAGGGCGTAGAGTTCCCTTTGTAGCTGGACTTTGCCAACTTCTTCGATGGCATGTTCTCACTCATGTACTCGATCGGCCTCAGCTTCTTCCCTTCCTGTTTAGCCAGCACTGCACCAATGACATATTGGCTTGTGGCACTGGTCACAACAAATGACCTTTGCGGATCGGGGACCATGAGAACCTCATGTTGTGTAAGGGCATGCTTCAATCTCTTGAAAGCAGCCTCACTTGTACGACTTCAAGCTTGACTATGTGAAATGAGAGTATAACAAGGTTGCTGACGCTCTATCACGTAGGGCAGACTACCTAGGCGTGTTGATTACTGAGTTGGCTTATCCGAGAATGTAATTCGATCCTTGGTGGAAGCCTACAAGGAAGACCCTGCCACGATGGACATCATTCGCAAACTAGAGGCCCACGACAAGGCCACAACCAATGAGTTTGTGATGGTGGATGGGTTGCTCTTCCTTGAGAAGGCAGGATTCAAGAGATTAGTAGTTCCATCTAGAGAGATTCTGCGTAGTGTATTTTAGGAGAATGCCATGACACAATATGAGATTTTGGCTATAAGAAGACTTCTGCTAACTTGGTACAACGATTTTGGTGGCCTAACATGCTTGCCGATGCAAAGAAATATGTGCAGACTTGTAAGGTCTGTCAGTGGGACAAGCCGCGGACTTAAGCTCCGCTAGGGTTGTTAAAGCCTCTACCCATTCCTGCTGGCCCGGGACAAAGTGTTTCCATGGACTTCGTGGATACCCTCGTGACCATCAAGAGTGGCAAGAGGCATATCTTCGTCATAGTTGATAGGTTCACTAAGTACGCTAGACTAATCGCCATGCCAGAGGCTGCTAGGACTGAGCGTGCCATGAAGTTATTCATGGATAACTGGGTTCGTGACTTTGGACTGGGAATCATCCCAAAGCTAACGAGCAGGTTGAACAGATGAACCACGTGTTGCAGCGTCTGCTGAGGCACTATATTAAGCCCAGCCAGGATGACTGGGATGAGAAGTTGCCTCTCATCGCCAATCTGTACAACAATGTTGTACATAGCACCATCAGCGTCAGTCCCAATCAACTGCATTTGGGGTGGAAGCCTACATCTGCTTTAGACTTCCTTCTGCCTTAAAACCGAACTGCTGCAACTCCTGGAACCATAGAGTTTGGTGTCCAGTATGAGAAACGGTTGCATCATATTGTCGAACACATCAAGAAATCTCAGGAAGCAATGATAGCTTCTGAGAACAAGCATCGTCGACAGTCCACATTTCAGGTAGGGGAACGTGTCTGGGTCAAGGCTAGTGAGTCGGGACAGGAGTTCGGTATCTCTAAGAAAACTAATGCCTCAGTATTTCGGTCCCTGGGAAGTCTTAGATATTGTGGGTAGTGATTTGGATGGTCCCTCGTACGTGATTCGAATCCCTGGTCACCTACGCACTTACCCTGTGTTTCACGCCACAAAGCTTGCACCTTTCGCTGAGACACAACAATTCCCATCAAGGAGATCAATGCTGCCGCCAACCATGGATGGTCACGTGGATATCCTGAAACACAGAGACATGCCTGTTCCCAAGCCAGCTGGCCGAGGAAGACCGCCTAAACCTATGAGAGAGTACAGGGTACGGTTCAGGCATCATACAGATCCTAAGGAAGATTACAAGAGCGGAACTTTTCAAGACAGCTCCTCAGATCGTGGCCGAGTATGAGCGAAGACTGAAGGGGAAGGCACCAGCATGAAGCATCTCAGCGGACTTTCGAAGCTCAGGGGTTTGGAATGTGAGGAATGAGCCCTCGGAGGGCCCTTATCAGACATGCACATGTTCTGGGCTGAGGCCCTCAGCAAGCCCCATGCCCGCCCTAAGTGAAGGCGGGCCTGAATATTCACAAGAGGGCCAGAGGCCAAAATTTGGCATTTTCCATATGTGGGTACTCAAGCAGTTGCAGCACGCCAGTTGGTTGAGAGGAAGAGTGAGCCTCCCTGTGTCGAGTCCTACAGTTGGGCCAAGGCCTTGGTAGTTGCGCCTGGGCACACACACACACAATGCAAGGCAGATACATCACGAATTGGCTACGGGCCTACGAAAAAAAGCAGCATTGTCGACCTACACACCCTGGGTCCTGTGCAAATGCAGCAAACGGCCCAAGTCTGGAAATACTGGCCGTTGCCAACTGTAAAGGGCCCAGGCCCTCATCTGCACAGCTGGGCGTGGACGCAGGCACTAGGGCCTGACCGGAAGCTACTGGAAGCTTCCCAGCCAGGCTACACATAGCGGAACAGAGGCTGCCACTTCCATATAGGGAAGGAGGCAGCCAGGGTCAGGCATTCTGGCCCATGCAGGCAACGGGGTCACGCTGCTGCGTTGCTGTGCGAGATGCTTGAGTGGCCAGGGCGCATATGGGCGCTTGAGAGGTGAGAGGGGCGCTGCTGGGCAGCAGAGCGTAGGCAGCCGTAGCCGGCTAGGGGGTAAGAGGCGATCGGTGGTCTTTGGGAAGGGGGCGAGTGTGGGTGGACAGGGAAGTGATGAGGGGAGACGACATACATACCTGGTGCATGAGGGAGGCCGGATATGGTGTTGAAGTCATGTAGATTGGTCTTCCAAGTCGAAGTGAGCCTGTTGCGTGAATGCGGCTGTAGTAGGATAGGCAAGTAGTGTAGGCTGGGCGCTGGGCGCCAGATAGAGAGGAGTGACATTGGATGCTGTGTTGGTGTGGCCTGAGGGCGTGAACATTGGCTCAAGAGCTCGTTGTATTGCTCTTATTTGGATGGTATCTCGGTGCATTTGTGCTCTATGCTTGTACGTGACTACTTGGACATCTGTGTGATTTCGCAACTTGGTTTTCTGTATATCGCTCTCACTCAGATTCCTTGCAGTTGCCTGCCCTTATCCAAAATTTGCACAGAGAAGTTGAGAGAACCAATAGGAGAGATCTCAGTCTCAATCTGGGACCCTCAACAAAATCCCTAAAATCCTTGGCACGTGCCCTTAAACCCGCCAATGCACGGTCCCAGCCTTGTGCAGAAATAGTTCAGTGCCTACACAAAATTTGCATGCTCAGGGCTACCGGACCACAATGGCTGGCAGCGCCAGCCAGAAAAGGAAAAACTTTAAAAAAGTGCGCCGCTGGCAGTTTGGAAAAGCTTGGCTGGCAATGGAACGCCCCCCAGGCAGTGTACTGGTGGGTTTTAAAAGCAAAGAAGTGTGCCGCTGGCGTCTAAGAAAAGCTTGGGACGCAGTGGAAGGCCGCCAGGCCCAGGTATACTTGTGGTTCACCCCCTTCCCTGCGAGCCCTCTTGCCTGAACTCCGATCAGAAAGCAACCCTTTCCCTGCGAGTCCTGCCTGAACTCCGATCAGAGAGCAGCACTGGGCGCGAGGTTTTCCATTACAGGTGTTACCATCCTGGTCATTCCCAAAGTGCAAATTCACAATGAAAGACAATGCCACCCAATTGCGAAAGAAATGAAAGCACTTGCAAAGAGATAGTGTTACATCTTCGACGCACACGGGCCCTACCGGACCTGACTTAGGGTCGGAGGGACACATCAGGGCCTAAAGGCCCGACCTTGGGATAGTCCAGGCCCTCAGGGCCTGATCTTGGACCAGTACCCAACGGGCAGGCCCAAACGGCATTATCGTTTGGGCCTGGCGGCGCTCTTGAGGCTGCCGCCCGCCGGTTGGGGCTGAACCGTCCATCTGGACGGTTCAGGGCATGGCCAGGCCTCGCAGCATTGAGGCCGGCCTCTGCCCCACCGGTATAAAGTACCGGTACAGCCTCACTTGGAGGCATCGACCTACCGGCACTATACCGGTATGGTATGGTCAGCGCCAGAGCACTGTTTTGATGCGCTAAGCTTAGCGCAGGAGCGAGCAAGGAGCAGCAGCGACAGCGCAGCATTAGCGCAGCAGCAAGCGGAGCAGCAGCAGGGCGACTGAGCCAGCACGGCGGCCATTGCCGCCTGAGGTACCTGGGAGCCGGAGG